CCTGCCCGACCCCCCCCCCCCCCCCCCCCCCCTTCGGGGGAGCGCGACCCGAGTCGTCGTCACGGGGCCGCCCCACCCTTAGCCCCACCTCCCCCTTCCCGTGGAGTGGAAGTCGAGTTGTCATAGGGAAGGTCTGCGCCGCTTCGCGCCTCGCGCCAAATGGCTCGTGAAAGAAGGGGGGGGGTCTGATAACTTAACCTAGGACGCGGAAAGCGCGCCATTACTCCTTTATATTCAGCGCCGCGGCCCGTCGCCGCTGTCAACCCCGCCCGTCGACGTTGTGCTTGAAATCCTGAGCGGAAAATGACTTTTTTTAAAGGTTTTTTTTCTTCAGTTTTCTTTCCTTTTATTGCCGTATTCCGCGGGTGCCTTCCCCGCGCGGCCTTCTATATTTGGGTTATTTTTGATGCCGGGCTGCTGGGCCGCTCTGCGCTCGGGCGTCCCTCCCTCCCCTTGCTCCGGCCAGCTCACTCCGAGAGTCGTTTTCGTCGCGCTGTCCCTCTCGCGCCTCTAGGGGACGCGTATGAGTGCGAGAGAGACGGAAACGACTTTCGGAATGAGTCTGCTGGCTGGCCTGGCCGAGGGCCTGCCTCGTCTGCCGTTTGCGCTACCCGCTGTGGCCACTCGAGCCACTCGGGCCGGCCGGCCAGCAGCCAGGCTGGACCACACGAGGCAGTAATGTCCACTCGGGATGGGATCCGGGTGGCCCGGCCCGGCCTGGCCTGGGGATGGGGCCCATAACGCGAGGGGACCGCGCGGCGTGCCCGGCCATGGCACAGCCACGGCACTGCCCGGCACGGCCCAGGGCATGCCCTGCGAGCCAAGGACCCAATCAGGACACACATCGTACTCGTGCCTGCCGAGTTATGGCGGAGGCGAAACACCAAACCGCACTTCGGAGGGGCCGGCGCTAGTTACGCCAAACCGACGCCCCCTCTCCCCCCCTCTTCCCCCCCTCTCCCCCCCTCTCTCTCTCTCTCTCTCTCTCTCTCTCTCTCTCTCTCCAATCATTCGGATGGCGTTCGTTATTCCGAGACCGCACCCAGCAGAGGAGCACTTCCGCGAATGGAAATTAGCGGGGAAATGATGTTTGGCGCGGAGCCCTATTTGGCAGGGCTAGACTTCGTCTGGCGGCATCCGTTCTGAGCACATTCTGAGCCCCGTTCCCCAAGGATTCCTGGACAGGGCTGTGTGCAGGACCCCTGCTTGACGATGGTCCTTTTTCTTGGGCCTTCCGAGGCGATCCTTTCTAGGACCTTTTGGGGCATCTTTGGTGCGGTGCACAGTGGGCCAGAAGCCGGTGGAGGCGGCCGAAACTCTAGACGCGTTTTGAGCGGTTTTGGAGCTCCAGAGTCGCTAAATGGGACTCGAACCGAACGTGTGACCCCACCAATGGATTGCTCTCCGATCGAGGAATCCATTGGGGGGGTCACACGTCCGGTTTGAGTCCCATTTAGCGACTCTGGAGCTCAAAAAGCGTCTAGAGTTTTGGCCGCCTCCACCGGCTTCTGGCCCACTGTGCGGTGTGGGCAGGCCTCTTTTCTCCGAAGAGGTTTGGGGCCGTCGCTGAGGACGTTGGCAAGGCCCAGGGTACTCCCCGCAAGCTCACACCTTCGTCGACGTCTATCGCGTCGCCGTCGCCCCCAGCTTCAGAAGGGTCTGGCGGCACAGGAATGAAAAAGCATGATCAAAACCCAAATTTTTGGGGGAGGTTTTCTTTTTCACCCAAATTTGGGTGAGGGAAAGTTTTCCCCGCCCCAATTTTGGGGGAGGAAAGCTTCTCGCCCAATTTTGGGTGGGAAAGGGGGTATCAGCTCCCTATATAGCTCCCCTTTATTATGACCCAAAAATTTTGGGGGAGGAAACTTTCCTCCCCCAAAATTTTGGGGGAGGGAAAAATTTTCCCACCCAAATTTGGGTAATAAAAAATTCCTCACCCAAAATTTTTGTCATGATCATGACTCTTTCATTCTCAGTGGGTTTTGAGGTCTATGGAGGTGGGGCGTGGCGGGGCGGCCCCAAGGCTTCCTTAATTGTGCTGCCCGACTTCCTCGTAGCGGAGCACAGGAGGTGGGCAAGGACGGCGTCCCTGACGAGGACGTGGAGGGTATGAGAAGGGCAGGATTTCTCGGAATAGAACTCCGGGGACCTCTGCCCTCTGCCCCCGAGGACTTGTCCAGAAACCAGGGACCTTCCCCCTTCCCCTTTGGACCCGCCAAAGTCCCTGTCGCCCTGCAGCTCCGCCCTGTAGGCTGCATGCGGGCTGTCTCTCTCGCACCTGTGCGGGGCGCCCCGTGAGCGCGAGAGAGACAGAGCGACGAAAACGACTCTGCTGCAACACGTCGACGACGGTCTCTTCCTCCTCCGGGAGGATCTCGTGCCGCTGGCCGTTTGCCGTGCCGCTTGGCTGTGCAGGGCAGCCGCCCGCGCCTCCGCGGTGACGTAACGCCTTAACTGCATCGCGGCGGCGCTGCAGTTACCGGCGTGTGGGGCGCCGGACCGCGCCGCCCGGTCAGGCACTGCACTGTTGGGCACTGCACTGTTGGGCACTGCACTGTCGGGCACCAGGTCGGCGCGTTGCGTCAGCGCATCAGCGGCCGTGGCGGTTAGGGTCGGTGGGGGGCTTGGTGCGATCCCTCCCTCGCCCGCCGTCTCATCTTGGAAACGCCTGGCGGCAGGCAGTGTCCGACGTAGTGTCACTGTGGTCATCGACAGGCGGACACCGCCTCCACGTGACCCGGCTCCCCGTTTTGGCGCCATCCCTCGGCTATCCGCGGTGGCGTGGTGGAGGCGGCCAAAATCCCGGACGCGTTTTGAGCTCCAGAGTCGCTAAACGGGACTCGAACCGAACGTGTGACCCCACCAATAGACTCCTCGTTCGGAGAGCAATCCATTGGTGGGGTCACACGTTCGGCTCGAGTCCCATGTAACGACTCCGGAGCTCAAAACGCGTCTAGAGTTCTGGCCGCCTCCACCGGTCTTCTGGCCCACTGTGTGGCGGGTCTCGAAGCCGGGCCGCTTTGCAGGCCTCTTTGTGCTTTTTGTCTCGTAATGACCGGCCATAGGGGGAAGGGGGTCACCGCCTGAGATGGCCCTGGAGGCCCTGGAGGCCCTTAGGCTGCAGCCCTGGCGCCGGTCGCCGCCGTCTCGCTCCAGCCCGTTGTCCAGGGGTCGTCCATCTCTGTCTAGCACGTCCAGCACCGCAGCTATGCGGCTGTCGCCCCGCGCCGCCCCCTTCCGGTTCATCAAATACCACGCGGTCCTGGCTGGCCGGCTGACTGGCTGGCCCACTGGCTGGCTTACTGACTGGCTCACTGGCTGGCTCACTGGCTGGCCCACTGGCTGGCCCACTGGCTGGCCGGCTGGCCGGCCCGGCCCCGAGTTAGCTTCCAACTTTGTGATCGGGGCTGCTCTGGAAATACCGTCCGGCTTCGGGCTGACGAGGCAAATTTTTTTTACGTCCCCTTTTCCCAGTTTTCCCTGTTCTTTCTCTTTACTTTGCCTGCTCCACGCGTGCTCGGTGGTCGTGTGGTCGGCCAGTTGCCGGGCCAACTCTGGAGTTGGAAAAGAACGAAGAATGCGGCAGCTTTTTCGGTATGGTGTTCAAGTTAACATGTTCGATTGCCTGCACTGAAAAACCAAACGTGGTCCAGACTGCACCACTGGTGTGGTCAGATGGGTGCCATTTTGACCACATCAGTTGGTGCAGTCTAGACCACGTTTGGTTTTTCAGTGTGGCTGCGTCCAGTGACGGGGCTCGATTCTGTGCCTGGCCGTGGCCGGCATTGCCACGGATTTTATGATGTACCTACTCAGGCCGGATGAGCGGCGAGGCGAGGACACGAGCTCGGAACAAGTCGAATCAGCCGTTTCCTGCGACTGCCCTCTGTGTGTGTGTGCGTGTGTGCGCGGCAAAGTAAAAGGCGACTAGCCGCGTCTTGACCGTCCCTGTTCTCCTTTTTTTTCGGCTGCGAGCCGCGCGAGCAGAGCAGCCCTTGCCGCGCGTACCACTTCAAGTTAAATGACGCGAAACTTTAGCCGTCGCCGTGGCGGCGCGGCGGCGTGGCTGGCCCGGAGAACTCTTGCCTGATAGCGAAATGGTCGTGACGTCGTGACGCGATAGCAGGACTGGCCGCCCCCCCCGCCCCGCCCCGCCCCGCCCCGCCCCCCCCGCCCCGACAATGCCGATAGTCCATGTCAAACAGCAACGCGGCTTGGGCCGCGGCCAAGCAGACGACGTCCGTGTCCTTGGGGCTGGCCGAGGCTGCCTGGGACTGGCCGGGGCCCGCAAGTGCGGTTCAACTTTTGACGCGCTGTTTCGGCGCGGCCGGTGACCTTGAGGCGGTGACCTTGGGCTGGATAGGCAACCGGCCAAGCGGGCGGGCTAATAGGGGGAAGCGGTTGCCTAGCCTGGAGGGGGCCTAACTGTCCCGGCCACAGTGGGCCAGAAGACCGGCGCCGGCGGCCAAAACTCCAGACGCGTTTTGAGCTCCAGAGTCGCTAAGCAGGACTCAAACCGAGCGTGCGACCCCACCAATGGATTCCTCGTTCGGAGAGCTATCCATTGATGGGGTCACACGTTCGGTTCGAGTCCCACTCAGCGACTCTGGAGCTCAAAACGCGTCCGGGATTTTGACCGCCTCCACCGGTCTTCTGGCCCACCGTGAGGCCCTGAGGGGCACTACTGTAAATGGAAATGGGCCCCTCTCGTTCAATGTTCCGTGCCGAATCTCGGTCGGGTTCCTCGGCCAAGCCCGCCGCGCCCAACCCCCGCCTTGGCTGCGCTGGGCCGCCATCCTGGGCCGCCATCCTGGGCCGCCCTGGGCGAAATTAATTTAGACTGCCGCGCCAAATCGGAAATTCGTCGCCCGCAGCCCGCAGTCGAATCATTGTCACTTGAAAAAGATGACCCACATTTTAGTCGCGGTGGCTTAACTTTTGCTTACACTGGTTTGATGTCGTCGTTTCGCTGAACCCGTGGTGTGTTTGTGTGTTTGCAGGTCGCGCAGGTGAGCCACGTCAACAGGTGCTGCCGACACGGTGCATTAGTTTCGGCTCGGCCGACTGGCGATAAGGTGGTTTGTCGAGGAGGGCGGACGGCGCACAGTGGACCAGAAGACCGATGCAGGCGGCCAAAACTCTAGACGCGTTTTGAGCTCCAGAGTCGCCGTACAGGGCTCGAACCGAACGTGTGACCCCACCAATGGATTCCTCGTTCGGAGAGCAATCGACTGATGGGGTCACACGTTCGGTTCGAGTTCCATTTAGCGACTCTGGAGCTCAAAACGCGTCCGGGATTTTGACCGCCTCCGGTCTTCTGGCCCACTGTGCGATGGGACGCGAACCCGTGACGGTGTCGGGGAATGCCACCTCGTGACCCCGTGGGAATCGATCGAGTGCAGCCAGCGCATCCGCACTGGTGCGAGAGAGCGACCGAGACGAGGGAGAGAGATAGAGAGAGATAGAGAGAGAGAGAGAGAGAGAGAGAGAGAGGAGAGAGAGAGAGAGGAGAGAGAGAGAGAGAGAGAGAGAGAGAGAGAGAGAGAGGACGAAGAAGGAGGGAAGAAAGCGCTCGGGGCGCAAGGCGTACTTACTCGCCTGGCACACGCCCAATCATTTATCTTCCTCAATTAAAACGAAAATTGCGCGGCCGACGCGAGGGCGTTGTTGTTGGTGCCGACGTGACCTCATCGGCTGCTGGGCGCCAGCGAGGAGAAAGAGAGAGAGAGGAGTTCGCGCCTCGCTGCCGCCGTTTTGACTGGCGATGGATGCCCGCTGAGATAGGCCCTATCGGCGGGGAAATCGATTCAGGGCGCTCGCGCTGTCTCTCTCGCACCCCCACGCGGCCACGCGGCGGCCCCCGAGTGCGAGAGAGACAGCGCGACGAAAGCAGAGCGGCGGCCCTTTGAGCGGGCCTCACCTCACGGTGGCAGCTCGGCAGCGGGCTTTCCCTCTCCGTCTAATCTCGCTTTGTGGAGGGCCACTGTCTGCTGCTGCACTAATTGGGTCCCTGTCGGCCACCCTCTGGTGACCCCTGCTCCGCCCGGCCCGAGCCTGGCCCCCTCCCCCCCTCCCCCATGTCACCGGTCGGTCGTAGTCCCCCCCACCCCCTCGTTCCGCCCAGTGTCCTCCCTTCGCTCCGGCGACCCCGGCCCGTTGCAGCAGAAGTTGATCGTCCCCTTGAAATTGCTAATTAATGGTGCTGAGTAATGGCAGGCCGTGCCCACCTGGACGGCCTGGTGGAGCGGAGGGCTGTGGAGGCCGTGCCAAGTCCGAGCACCCCGACGAGCACCGCGGGGACGTTCCGTTTACGTCAGTGTGGTGGTGCTGCTGGACCGGTCCAGGCCCATTTCTCTCTCTTCGTTTTCCAGGCTGACTGCCGCATGGTGGCGTACCTGTCCCGCCCCCGCCCCCGCCCCGCCCCGCCCCCGCCCCGCCACACCGCCGCCCACGCATTCAGCCCCAACTAGGGCCAAGCCCAGGGCGCAGCACAACCCCCCCCCCCGCCATCCCTCACTCCCCGCACTCAACAGACTCGTTAAGCCCAGCACCTCGCTAAATTAAGCCCTCCCACACTCCCACACTCCCACACACACACACACACACACACACACACACACACACACACACACACACACACACACGTGCGCACACATGCCAGCGACTCCCTTGTCTGGCCCCACATACTCTTTGCGCCTTTTGTGTACGACAATGCCCCGCGCTAGCGCCGTTTCTCTGTGAATCGTCTGCAGAGTCTCCAACCCGCCCCGCCCGGCCGGGCCCTTTCGGGGCGCGACATTAATTCAAATTGCCGCTCCGCGTTTCGGCTGTTTGTTTCGAGGCCTCGCCGCGTTGCTGCGCGCCCCAACGGAAAAATGGATAAAATTTTAACTGAAAAATGAAAAAGAGGGGCGGGAGACGTGGCGCGAATTTCAATGTGTGGTTGCCGACGGCGTGCTGTGGCAAGGCTGTGGCGGGGCGTTGTGGCCGCCACGGCCTCCACCCCGAGGCCTGGAGGCTGAAGAGCGTGACGGGGGCCTTGCCGCCGCCCTCCAGTGCCCCCGCCGCCCCCGCCGCCCCCGGCCCGCCCCCGGCGCGGCCTCCCCCGTCGTCAGCAGTAAAGCTTCGAGTGTGCTCGTCGTGCCCGCCCCCCTGCAGACCCCCATGCAGGCCGTCCGGACCATGATCCTGATCCTCCTCGAGTCGCTCATCCTCTCTCGGCCTCTCGGCCGTCCATCCGTCCAGGGTGGCAACGAGTGCCTCGCATTCGAGCTGACCGACGTGGACCCCACGGCCCGCGGTGGCTGCTTCTTTTATGGGAAATGTTTCTGAGTTTCGAATCGTTTTGCCTCCGCCTGCCGTTGGTTGGCGTTGCGACACTGGAGCACAAGCACACCGCCATGCACGACGCTTGCTCCACGTCAACGCCACCCCCGTTAGGCCCGACGCAGTCTGACGCCACGAGGCTGCCCAAAAAACTCTCTCTCTCTCTCTCTCTCTCTCTCTCTCTCTCTCTCTCTCTCTCTCTCCTCTCTCTCTCTCTCTCTCTCTCTCTCTCCTCCCTCTCCTCCCTCTCCTCCTCCCTCTCCCTCCCTCCCTCATGTAAATAAAAGACCTCGCACAGGGTTTTCGTGCGTAGATGGCCTAGGGCTAGGCCTCGGCGCGCCCGCTGCCCATCGTTCAATTCTTATCCCTCCGTGTTGTCGTCGTCGCCGCGTCCTTTCGGCTTCTTTTCAGGGAAAGTTTTTCAGGGGGGGGGGCTTTGTCTGACGGACGTGACGTCACGCGTGACCTGGCTGGCCACACTCCAGCCTGCCTGCGCTGTGCCACGCTGTGTGGCGCTGTGCGGCGCTGTGCGGCGGCGCGCCCCCGCCGTCCGCGTCGTCCTCGACACCGGAGCAGCGCCGCTGCGTCACTCGGATGACAGCCTGCCGTCTCTCTCGCACTCGCGGGGGAGGGGGGGGGAGGGAGTGGGGGGGCGGCCAGGCGTAGGTGGGGACGCTGTCGCCGCGCACGCCAAGCTCGCCGCAGAGGCTGTCTCTGTCTCCGTCTAGCGCCCGCAGACGCGAGGGTAGGCCGCCCGCAGTGCTGCCACGCACTGGCGCCGCGCGGAGTTGCCTACCTCGCCGACCGCAGGCGGCAACGGGCTGCCTGTCTGTCTGTCTGTCTGTCTGTCTGTCTGTCTGTCTGTCTGTCTGTCTGTCTGTCTGTCTGTCTGTCTGCCTGCCTGCTTGTCTGTCCGTTCGCTTGTCTGCCTGTTCGCCCCAATGAACCCCCCGCCGTCGCAACGCCGCACCCCTCCTTGGTATTAGCTGTTTTTGAAGCGTCGGCCCCGCCACGCCCCGCCACGCCCCGCCACGCCCCGCCACGCCCCGCCACGCCGATGAAGCACGCCCTGCTTAACGGCCCCGACCTGTTGCGTGCCGTTAAACGTGCCTAGTCCTCGACGCCCTCGAAATAAAGTCGCCGTTTATATCGACGACGCACGCCAGGGCGTGGCGTGGCGGGCGGGGCGTGGCGGGCCGGGGCGGGGCGGGGCGGGCCGGGGCGGGGTGGGCCACCGAGAACGCCGAGCAGACCAGACCGCCCTGCTGCTGCCGTCGCGAGGGAGATTGGACGGCAAGGCAAAGGGTCCGAGCATATCGGTCTCTGTGATCGATTGGAACGAGTGGCGGTCCTTTCGTCTGTCCACACACACACACACACACAGTGTATCAAGCGCCTCGGCCGGCCACAAGCCGCCGCAATGAAAGAGTCCTCTGCCAAAAAAAGATAAAACTCGAAAAAAAACACACACATCTCGTCTGCCTGGCGGCGCTGGCGGTGCTGGTGCGTCTGTCCGCTCTGGCCGTCCTCAATCTATTTGGCGTGCCTTGTTTTCCCCCTCGGTCGTCTTTGACTCTTTTTCGGCCGCCGATCCCTCTCCCGGGCCTTTTGGTAGAGGGGAGGGGGGGGGCTGCGCTCCAGGGACATGACATGGGGCGCCAAGCCTAGCCGTGACAGGCCCTTGGACAGCCCGGCCTCCCTCCCCTATTCGTCTTTTGTAGCAGTGTGCCACTGTGTGGCCGCCAGGCCGCCCCGTCCCTGCAGACTGATTCCGAGAGTCGTTTTCGCCGCTCTGTCTCTCTCGCACCTACACGGAGCGCCCCACGAGTGCGGGAGAGACAGAGCGACGAAGACGACTCTCGGAATCAGCCTGCTGTGAGGGGCGAGGGCGGGGATGGCCGTCGTGTCGGCCCCGCGACCGCCGCGCGCATCGCACATGTTGTTTGACGAGAAAACAGAAAGTGAGAATTCGCGGGGGTGGCTCGAGCTGGTGTGTGCGCTTGTAGGTGTGTGTGCGTGTGGGGGGCGGGGGGATAGAAACGGACCGAGGAGGGGGAGAGAGGGTGGTCGCTAGTGCTCTCTTTGTCTGGCCAAAGCGGCGTTCGTCGAGGAGGCCGGGACTGAGGGCACTTTGCGCCACAGCGACGAGTCGGCGACCAAGCCGAGTCCGGCGCGAGCGTGACACACCGCCCCGCCTGCACTTTGGCTCGTGCTTTCGTCCTCTCGTCGCTCTGTCTGTCTCCCTCGCACCCGTTATACCCTCCCGCGGGCGGGTGAGCGAGAGAGAGAGAGAGGAAGAGAGAGAGAGAGAGAGAGAGAGAGTGGAATGGCGGCGACTTTTGGCGCTGCGACGCGCTATGCAATGCATTGCCTGTTGCCCGCTCCGGGCAATAAAGCCCGGGGACGCTGCCACTTATATTGTCTGTACGGGCGGGGTGGGGCGGGCGGTGCATTCCCGCGGCCACTTTTATGGCATTAACGGTGGTGGCGCGACGAAAAGACGCAAAGACGGGATCTGCAGTGCAGTGTCGGGGCCCGGCGGCCCGGCTACACAAGTGACACTGTGTGACCTGTGCGTCACACTCAGGTAACACACACACATGCACACACACACACACGCACACACACAGAGTCCCTGAAATTTATCGCCGTTTTCTCGACAGCCCTGGCCCTTGTCTAAACC